GCAGAGGTGAACAACTTGTGTTTCGCGCGCTCATATGACCTTAGCAGTTGCGAGCGCCGTAAAACCTTATACTACTACTAGAGAGAGAGAAAGAGGGGGAGAAAGGGGGGGGGTGAGAAAGGGAGAGAGTGAAAGAGAAGAGATATGATAGCATTGAGAGATTTGTCGTTATCTGTCCTTTGATCCAGTACTATAAGGTAAATGTATTTACTGCGTAAGCTAGAGATTTCTCTTATTACCCGTCTCGGTTTATCAACATTGGTACGAACGGGCACTACCATTTGAATTTTTTAAGCGATACATTTAATATTTTACAAAGGAGTATTGCTTTAAAGAACGTTTACCTTTCACAGAATGGAACTTCTCATGTGAATGTTTAATGTTCACTTTAAAATGCATTTCCGAAGCCTTTCAAGTTAACCCAGAACGTTTCCTGTGTGTAAACAACAAGGCATCCCATGTGAAGACCAAGAGTGAAAGGAGATCCCTTCACAATAGCGTAAGTTTGATTTCGATACTAAAAATGTTAGTTTTTTATTTGGTCTCTCTCCATGACAGTGTCTACTTTTTGATCGTGTATGTCAGTGAGTGGTGTTATATTTTTTTTAGCCTTTTTGTACCTCTTTTTAAAAAAATGTTTTTTTGGGGTTTTTTTCTTGTTAGAATAAGGTGCCGTAAGGGTGTAACGTAGCTCTCCTTCTTTTTTCTTTTTTTTCTTTCTTTCTTTCTTTCTTTCTTTCTTTCTTTCTTAGATGAATTGTACATAAAAGCTTGCACTAAAAAAATTAATTCTATCTTTTTAAACAACACAAATAAAAACATCAGTCAGAAGTAAAAGACCTAGGCTTCTGATCTGTAACAAAGAAATAGAAGGTCTTTTTTACTATAATCTATTAAAATGCTTCCATCTTAACCATCTTGTATAAGTATACTTACGACCTTAGAGCATGCATCAGTACAACATTGAGCGTGTATAATATCTTAAGATTATTATTGTTTATATTGCTGCTCATTTATATTATGCATGTAATTGTAAGCCTACGTGTGTGTGCATGTGTGTGTGTATGTGTGTGTGTGTGTGTGTGTGTGTGTGT